TGACCAAAAAGAATGTGAAATATGAATGAGATGAAGCACAAGCTAGGGCCTTTCAGATGTTAAAAGATAAATTGTGTACTGCACCAATTCCATCTTTGCCAGATGGAGTGAAAGATTTTGTGGTATATAGTGATGCGTCAAAGTTGGGTTTGGGTTGTGTGCTGATGCAACGTGGAAAGGTAATAGTTTATGCTTCCAGACAGTTAAAAGATCATGAAAGACAGTATCCTACTCATGATATGGAGTTAGCGGCAGTGGTGTTTGCTTTGAAAATATGGAGACATTATTTGTATGGAATGAAGTGCCAAATCTTCACAGATCATAAGAGCTTGCAACATCTATTTCATCAGAAAAATCTGAATATGCGTCAGAGAAGATGGTTGGAATTGGTGAGTGATTATGATTGTGAGATTCTGTATCATCCAGGCTAAGCAAATGTAGTAGTCGATGCGTTAAGTCGACAAGAGAAAAGTGGAACGATTAAAGCTACAGCTTTACGAATTGAGTTATTACCCAGTATTCAAGAAGAATTACGAGAATTTCAACATGAGGCAATGAAAGAAGATAAGATCAAATGTGAAAGATTGGGTGGATTAGTATCTGATTTGGTAAGAGATGATACAGAATTTTGGAAGTTCCATAACAGAATTTGGGTACCATATTATGGTGATCTCAGAAGGCGTATTCTAAATGAAGCTCATCAGTCACGTTTTGCGATACATCCAGGTACAAATAAAATGTATCGAGATTTGAGACTACATTATTGGTGGTCAGGCATGAAGAAAGATATTGCTAAACATGTAGAACAGTGCTTGACTTGTCTCCAAGTAAAAATTGAACACCAACGTCCTTATGGTAAGTTACAATCTTTGGAAATTCCGGTTTGGAAATGGGATCATATTACTATGGATTTCATAACCAAATTGCCGAGAACATCGAAAGGATATGATGCGATATGGGTGATAGTGGATCRRTTATCTAAATCTGCACACTTCTTACCTATGAAAGAGTCATATTCGATGGAGAGATTAGCAAAGTTGTACCTTGATGAGATAGTGACACGACATGGAGTTCCATTATCAATTGTTTCTGATAGAGATAGTCGCTTCACTTCTATGTTTTGGAAGAGTTTTCAGAGAGAGATGGGTTCACAGATTAAATTGAGTACAACTTATCATCCTCAAACTGATGGACAGAGTGAACGAACTATCCAAACATTAGAAGATATGTTGAGATCTTGTGTTATTGATTTTGGAGGGTCGTGGGATAGCCATTTGACTTTGGTTGAATTTGCGTACAACAATAGTTATCATTCGAGTATTCAGGCAGCACCTTTTGAGGTTCTGTATGGGCGAAATGTAGAACTCCTTTGTGCTGGAATGAAATAGGTGAAAGACAGTTAGCTGGGTCTGAGTTAGTTCAGCAAACTGCAGATAAAATTGGGGTAATACGAGAACGAATGAAAGCGGCGCAAGATAGACAAAGAAGTTATGCAGATAAACGTCAGAAGCCGATTGAGTTCCAAATAGGTGATAAAGTAATGTTGAAAATATCACCATGGAAAGGTATAGTACGTTTTGGAAAGAGAGGGAAGTTAAGTCCAAGATATGTCGAACCATTTCCTATTATTGGGAGAGTTGGGGAAGTGGCCTATAAGTTATAACTTCCTTTAGAATTAAGTGGAATTCATGACACGTTTCATGTATCAAATTAAGGAAGTGTCTAATAAGTCCAGATGTGGCAGTACCATTACCTGAGATTAAGGTAGATGAAAAGCTATGTTTTGAAGAAACCCCTGAGCAGATTACTGATTATAAGGTGAAAAAGTTACGAAACAAAGAGATTGGGTTAGTAAAGGTTCAATGGCGTTATCATAAAGGGTCATATGCCACCTGGGAACCGAAATCGGAAATGCGAGTGAAGTATCCCTATCTGTTTGCTTAAGTGAATTCCGGGACGGAATTCTTTTAAGGAGGGAATATTGTAATAGTCTGGTTATTATTTTTGTTATATATATATGCATATATTTATTTATAAATATACATATATATATATATGATATATGTGAATGTTATGTGTAGGTGTGTGTGGGAGTATTAAAATAGTAAAAGAAGGGAGAGGGGTCGGCTATTAAGCCGCCTCTCAATTTCCTTGTGGGTGTGTAGGTATATAAAGAAATTGTGAAGGAAAAACACACACAACACACTTTCCATATTTAGAAGTTTTCTCTCTGAGAATTTGAAGAAAACGCACAAGAAGAAGAAGAAGGATTTAAAAGCTTTGGTTCTCAATTGCTAAAGGTGAGTGTATTAAGAGCTTTGGATATGAATTGCTTTCATACATATTGATAAGCATTTGGAACTGGTTATATTGAATTTTATAGCATTTTATGAAAGTTCTTGATTAAACCGTACATGTGTTGTACGGATTGTAATCCAGATAACTAAACCGGCCAAGAGGTGACCGGTGTATCATCTAAACTGGCCAAGAGGTGACCGGATATCATCTAAACCGGTCATGTGGTGATCGGTTTATTTCTAAACCGCTTGTGAGAAAAGGTTTAAGTCTATAAACCGGCTAAGGGGTGACCGGTATACTTTAAACCGGTCAAAAGGCTAAATGATGTATTGTCCGGTATACTCTAAACCGGACAAAGGGTGAACGGTGTATCATCCGGTTTATTCTAAACCGAACAATGTTATAATTGAAGTTTGACCGGACTTGTAATTCGGACAAGGGAGTTGGTTTATTTTCAAGTGTTTTGACCGGACTTCTAATCCGGACGATTATGACCGGACTTCAAGTCCGGATAAAAAGAGATGTTTTTACAAAGAATGTTTTTGGAATGATATAATGAGCAGTGTAAACTGCGTGTGAGATGGCGGTGTAACCGCGAGAGTGATATGAGCAGTGTAAACTGCGTGTGAGATGGCGGTGTAACCGCGAGARKGATATGAGCAGTGTAAACTGCGTGTGAGATGGCGGTGTAACTGCGAGAGTGATAGGGGCAGTGTAACCGCGAGAATGGTATAATTGAGAAAGAGATATGAGAATGAGATGACGGTGTAATCCGCGAGAAACATAAATATAATTATGTTTCGGAACATGTTTGATTCTAAACTGAATGTTTGGAATATATATATATTGTTGTATGAGATTATACACTCACTAGACTAATTGGTCTAACGTTCAGATGTTGGATTAACCTGTTTTGCAGGACAGCGTGCTCTGAAAGATAAAGGCARGRGAAAAGTCTAATTGTTGATATTAGYTTGWTATGCATATGTATTAAAGATACATTTTGATAGTTCATGTTTTGTAATAATACTATTTTAGTATTATGAGAATGATGATGTGAATTATATGCATTTGGAATATGAGGGTTGTTACAGTACCACATAAAATCGTATTATAACATCGGTGGAGACAGAGACAGAATAAAATAAAACATTAAAATCGAGATCTATCTCGTTACATTACGCAATAGCCTTCTAATTTTTTTATAAATTATTTATAAAGAATAAAATTCAATTCAATTTCAAATCAATTTTACTCGCTTGATTCATAATATTTAGAAGTTCAAAAATACCCCTCCCTTGGTATTGAAAAGACATGTATTTGATACCTGTGTCTGCTACGTAATCTCTTTATCAATTTACCACCAATTTAGTTACCAACTTTTATAATGGCACAGTTCTATGTCATGTCAGTGACTGTAATATCATGATTGTCACGTGTCATGGTCTTACGATTATTTAGATATCATCAAGACTACATGGTTTAAAGTACTTACTAGTTGTGTACCCGCACAATGCAGCGGGAGCTATGAATTTTAACGATTTTGAAGTTTCATTGGTTTTATTAGAGAAGATTTAACGATGATATAAGTTACACTTGATCTTTACATATTAATACAATTTGAATATATAAGAGTTATGGTTTCAATTATAGTCTATCGATGGAAAAAATTGTATGACAGTTTAAAACCCAATATATTTAAACAACTCCACAAATGCGTTCGATTTACACGAAGAGCAAAGAATCAAAAGATCAAGAACGAGACCGAAAGTTCTAAAATAATTAAATGAGAGATGAATGAAAAAACTTTTTATAACTAAAATTCTAGAATAATTAAATGACCGTTATATCTCTTTTAATTATAATATTTTTTTAATGATTTTTATAACTAAAATCACATTATTAGTCGCATAGAATGGTTATAAAATTTGAATATTTAAAAAATTTACAATAAAGTATGTTTTTTATCCTCGGGATTTGTTGAAAACTGCTATTTCCGTTCTTGTATTTTTAAAATTACAGGTTTTCGTTTTTATGGTTTACAATTCATCCTTTTTTTTTGTTCGTATAATTTATAATATATTGTTGTTTTCGTCCCTTATACTTAACATAAATCATTGATTTAAAACAATAAATTGTAAATCATGTGACAAAAAGCATAATTTCAAAAGCAGAGGAGGGAAAGCCAATTTTTAATAAACCACAAGGGCTAAAATAGTTGTTTACTAAAAGATTTAGGAATATGTTTGTACAATACTAGGAAATTGAGGACTATTTCTGCAAATAGTCCCAAACTTGGGGGAACCTTTTTGAAATAATTTCTCTGATAAACGGCAGCTGAGACACCCTAGAATCCCCGACGACTGAAACGACGTCGTAAGGCAGTGTTATGCGCAGACAACACCAACAAAAACACGATGGAATCAAAGAAACTTCAGTTTCCGAGTCAACTTTCTCTTCTTCCTTTTTTGCTCTCTTTCAAACACACTAGTGGGAGCGAAATCTCAACGAGCACAACAAGAATCTCTTTGTACTTCGGCGGATCGATGAAATTAAGTTGTAATTTTGGATGGTTTTAGGGTTTTGAGAGTTTTAATTTTGGACGAGAGGTTTTAGTTGTGGGAGGGTTTCCGAGATTGTAAATATGATGGCTAGAGGTTTATTTGGTTGGTCACCACCGCGGCAACAGCCTCTAACACCGGTATCAGAGGTGTCGGAGCCACCGGAGTCCCCGTCTCCATACATGGACCCAGGTATCGATGCGGTACCTCCGGAAGTTGATGATGTGATGGATGAGACGGAGGAGATCGAGCCGCCTCCGGAAGCAGTGCCGTTTTCGAGGCTGTTTGCGTGTGCTGATAGGCTTGATTGGGTGCTTATGGTAGTTGGATCGGTTGCTGCGGCGGCACATGGGACAGCACTTGTGGTTTATTTGCATTATTTTGCTAAAATTATTCAGTTGCTGAGTCATGCTGATGAGAGTCCGGATATGCAGTTTCATAGGTTCAAAGAGGTAGCTTGATTTTGATTTGTTGAATCATCAATGCTATTAGAACTTGTGTTTCTTATTCTGACCAAGTAATGTGAACTGACGTTCTATTGGTATATGTGTACTCCCTTTTGCTGTAAAGTACTACAGAAGTTATACTCCCTCCGCAGTAACTGAATTTCTAAATCCAAAATCCATGATTTTCTAGTTTTCAGCTCCAAAATTTGTTAAACTATTAAAGATTGTAATCAATCTATCATCAAAATAATTTCGATCAAATCTGAAGCCAGAAGTAACTCATTTGACACTTGCATGTTCAGAAGTGGACTTTATTGTAGGAGGGACTGGAGAATGTCAAAAAGAGATATTTTTTCCAGCTTCTGAGTAAAGTAATAGGTCCCTTAGAATTTTTGTAGGGGTTGGATGATGGTAAACTCATAAAAACATATAGTCAATATTAATGGAAAATTGAATGCAATTTAACTATTATAGATTAAAGTAGAAATTTAGCTCCACTTTCAGGATGAACTAAAAATTTGTCTCTGTGAGAATACGTAGAGAGTTATATTAAGAATTCTTAAAAGGATTCACCTTAATGGGTATAGCTTGTACAGTTGTACTAAGGCATCATAACCAGGGTTTATGTTTGGGCTTGAAATTTTTGCTTCATTTGACAAATCATTTTCAGTAATAGCAGGTAAATGATTCCAAGTATAACCAGGTAGCTAATGATGTTGATAATTGGGGATGCCTTTAGCTTAGAATGGTTTTTGTTTGCTTTTATGTGGTTCTCTTATATGCTTAGTTAATGGATGACAGTTAACAGTTATCTAATCATAAATTAGAGGATTAACATCTGGGTTGTTCTTTGCCGTGATTATCTATCTATTGAAATTACCAGGAAGCTTGAGTTTGTACATTTTATATGGTTCTGAAAAGCAGTGGGGCATGATATATTGGGTTTCACTGTTCTAGCATCCACTGGAAATTTACTTTGTGGGTATTAGTGACAACATGGATAATTATGGAAATGAGATGAGATCATGATTGGTATTATGATCTTTAATAAGTTATAAGGAATCAACATAAGACATGCAGCTCTGGGTTTCTTTCTTGTGCTTGTGCTTTGAGCTTGTAGTCGATGATGCATTGCACAGTTATCTCTTGCATCTACCAAAGCCAACAAATAAACTTATATCATTATATCAATTGAGGCTGACATATTCCAAGAATTTGGTATTGGTGGGTGGAAATTTAAGTAGTTATTTTCACCACATTGTTCTTTGTGCTCTTCAATGTGAAAAATGTACCAAGGTGCACATAATAAGTTCTTTCATCTTGCAATTCGTCAACTTGTTGAATCATGGTTACTTTTATGTGTGTTGTGTAATGTGGACCGTGTACTCATCATGTGGGATGCCTCAAATATCACCCCCTAGTTAAAGGATATACAAACATATGTGTTTTATGTGCATAAATACAAACACATATGCACACATGCATACCTATATGCATACATATATACATGTATGCTTCAAATCACCAACAATTTTTGGCCTTAAAACTAAATACGCTTTAAATTTACCCTCCAACTACGTAATGTCAGATTTCGTTTTTGTTTGTAACCCATAGGCTGCCTTCTTTTTGGAGAGAATTGGAGATTGAGGCTGTTCCAACCTTGTTCTTGTACTTGTCTTTTGCTTGAATCTAGTGGGCAAGTTGTTAGCCACTCATTATTAATATTTATTAGGAGAAATAAGCCTTTTTTCTCTGTTTAATGATTCCATGTCTTTGACATCTATTAGCATGAAGGATAATGGATGATATTACATTTGTGAATTAGTGAAGAAGCAAGGATGTTATAGCCCTTTGACAGTGGTGCTAATCATTTTGCTATCTAGGAGTAGTCTATTGTTTCACATAGTCACTCTCCTATCATAATGGTCATCTGCCATCTCTTTTGTGAAGAGATAAATCTTACTATTAGACACTTCCCTAAGGTCTGACGGTTACCCTGTGTGCATGAAGGCTCTTCGGCTTTGTGGGGAGTGAGATGAGGAAGGAAGTTTCCACTTTCCTCAAGTAGTTTTTCCCTTGCATTTGCAAATAGGTTGTTTCAGTATCATTAGATTCTTCCTTCAATCAAATTAGGATAAGAAGTGATTTTCATCTTGCTGCAGTAACTTTAGGCTTAACTACAGTGAAGTCAACACAGGGCATATACTAAATTTTTTGGTAGAATTTGAGTTCAACAAATTCACAAGTTGATATGTTTTAGTTAAATGCTTAATTTGATTGGGTGGAACTTGGAAGTCAATGATGTTTTAAGCAGGCATACCGCTAATAGTTATAGTTTTAGTCAATCATGTGCAGATCAATCTAGAACCCATTCTTTGTTAACATGCAATGTGTTTTTGACTTGGTCCATCTTTTAGGTGTTTTGTTTCTTTTTATTTTTAATTCTGACGATAAGTTTAATGCACGTGGAAGAACCAAGAGAAAACTTAACCTTCTACTTCTGTTGAGAGCTTTGGGTTAGTTATGGACGAATGGTTAGGTATACTATCTGAATGGGTAAGAGTGACAACAATGAATTCACGTCGCTAAGGAAGGTAATCGGTCTACCTTCCAATGGGGGAGGATGGAGAATTTTTATGGATAGGGAGCCATAGTTGCAACTTTGTTCATGCATGATGCAACTATTAGATATTCATCTTTGTATGACTACAAAGGAAAGAATTAATATGTCGTCAGTTTATTAGATTCTGCATTAAGGATGTCTGGAATTGTCAAATCTATTGAGAAAATTAGATAGGGATGCAGTGCTTTACCTGAATAAGCAAGAAGGATAAACTTTTTTTAGGATGAAGAGCAAAGCTAGCTTGTCGTTATATGGTCTATCAACATTTACTTGTTGCCTGTCATGGAGATTATTATGCAAGCATCTTGTTACGGGTACTGAACAAGTGGATCTCTATATGTCACTGTTGAGTAGGAAATGATGCTACGGAGGACTTCTGGACCCCTAGGAAAATAGATGCTTTATGAAGCAAGTTCGGTGGGAGCATCATCACCGTTGTCAATTCATATCAAATTTTAGATTGTGATACTAATTTTGTAAATCATGAATCAAACTAAATTATGGACTCACCGGTGACTTTAAAAAAGGTTTACATCACATCTGTAAATCTAGAAGAGAAGAAATAAGCATTCTACCCATGCGTAAACCCAATATACTTGCATTAGTCATGAGAGCTTGGTCTTATCCCATTAGTCATTCGTTACAACTTTAACATATAGCAGCAAAAAATATCTCTGTTAATGTGGCTGCTAATAAGTTTTAGATTAGAAAAATTCTAACCGAAGTATTCCCAAGAAACGGCATAAATAAGGTTAGAAATCATGGGGTAAAATTATTAAAATCTTTAGACTGACCGATTAGACTATGCAAGGACAAATCACCAATATTGATGATGCATTAGCATTTGCTGATGAGTTTCTCAATCGTTTGCTTCATGAGTTCTTTTGTTCGTAAGATTAGAATCTATGCTGTTAATTGCGGCGCTATTGCGCTGCAACAGCGGTGTGATAGCGGATTGCGGACTAAGGTAAAATTGCGGTGAAAATTGTGTTTCTGATATTACTCGCAATTGACCGATATTTGAGGTGAAATTGCGGACCGATATTTCAATATTTTAGCTTGGGCCCCTTTAGAACAAGTTGGGCCAAGTACAAGAAGTAAAAGGGAGCGCTATAGGGATGATGATCACGTTAGGGATGATGATCACGTTGGAGATGAAGGGGTTGATTGGGAAGCTAGCCTAAACGAAGAAGTGAATGTCTTAGATGATGTTGACTCGGATGCTGAACCTATTGCTTGTGATTAGCTCGTTTATGAACACTTTTCCTATTTTGTTTTGTGAAACTTGTTTAAGTTGATGTTTTGATTTTGAAACTATATTTCTAATTAATGCATATGATATGTTTATGTATGCATGCATACATATTACGTATATATAATTCTAAGAAATATTATATGAACCGCTATTTTTGGACCACTATGCCACCGCTATAACTGTTATTTCAAATATCGGTCCTGACCGCAATTTTGTATTTTCGCCGCTATAACAGCATAGATCAGAATTTTGAATCATACGTTTTTGAAAACTATGATAGCTCTCGTTTAGAGCGAGATTTGCAAGGGAGAGAGGGAAGCTCTGAAAGTTGTATGCTGGATTTAGTGATACATTGCTGAGAGAAGAGAATTTCTATACGTGGAGCAGTTTATGAGCATTTTACATGAAATGCTATCCCCTTTATAAACTGAAGGTGGATATTTGATGGAATTGGCTTAAGAGGCATTGCAGATTGCCATTACTCCATATGAGAACTAATTATATCTTATATATGGCTTGATAAGAAGTTCAGAAACATACATAGGGCTTTTGGCACACGTTGACATTTTCTTTTTCCGGCCTAATAGATCACCTTTTGTATCACCCTATTTGAGTCTTCTTAGATCCCATAGGTGGCTGATGACTTGTACTAGCATCATTATGTGGTCTAGGTCCTAGAGTCATTCAATATTAATTTTATGCCTAATCCAAAAATCTTGCCCAATAATGAAAAAAGCTAGATTTTTTTTTGATGTTTTGATATGGAAAACCTCAAAGATAGGGCCAGCTAGGCAAGCCGGGCCACGAAAGAAAAGAAGTCATAGGCCGAGATGACTAAGAAAAGAGTACTAATGTTATTTCTTAAAAGTATTCATTGCCTGAATCTCTTTTGATACCATATCATTTATAAGAATCAAAATTTATTTAGTCATGGAACATCTGAGAAGATTTTGTTCTGATAAATTTTATAGAAAAAAATGATGTGTGAGATTTGATGGAATAAATGTTTTAATTAACACTTGCTTCATTAGTTATGATTACAACATATTGATCAAGAACAGAAACTTGTGATTGTTATCAATTTTCTACTATAAGTTTCAAGGACCACAAAAGGACTTATTCTTGTAACACTAAAAAGTTGATCACTCGTTTATTCTCGGATGGAGGTAGGAACATGTAACTAGTTTTGTTGAGATGGTAGCTTGTGTTGACAATGATTTCTGACATGTGAACTTCATCATTCAAGCCACCATACTACCATTTTTCAGGTCCAGTATACTTACTAAGAACATGTCTTGCTCTTCGAACTGTTGGCAACTATTCACCTTTGTTTTCACTTGTTATGTTACAAGGTCTGTCTTCAATGAATCTTATTTTTCTTTAATGTTCCTTTTGATGTCCAATTGATGGTAACACACACTTTTTCATTGATACTACTCACTCAAGTTTTCTTAGGCTCAGTCATCTTTGTAGTCTTGTATTCAATGAAGGGGCATCGCTTGCATAGAGGGTCTACTGATTAATATTCTATAGTTGATCATGACCGTAATATGTTTGACTTCTTTCCAGTTTGGGTTCTTGAATTTTTTTTCTGTTAGTCAGACCCTGTCCCAATAACAGCCTAAATTACACCACCATATGCTTCCTAATTCTATTTAAGTATCTAATTCTGTTATCAGACTTAATATTACACAACTGAAATTGAAAGAAATAAAGTTGCACTTATGCCTATCGAAAGAAAAAAAACATGGTCCATTGCAAGTCTAGATATGATTAAGCCATGACATGGTTATGTAGTTTATCCGACAGAATAGTACTTTGAACCATCATTGCTTGTTTATTGATTCATGTTAAATGGCATGATACTTCTATCTGAAGCATTGTTAATTTATTAGACGGGTGAAAATTTATACAAAAGGATTGTGTTGTATTATTTCTGCAGCTTGCTCTGACCCTTGTTTATATTGCTGGTGGTGTTTTTGCTGCTGGTTGGATAGGTACATATCTGAATTTAGTCTCATTTATATTTCATTGTGCAATGCTTCTTGTCAGCCATCATTTCTAAATCGCTCTTGCTTTCAGAGGTTTCATGTTGGATTCTTACTGGAGAAAGGCAGACTGCTGTTATTAGGTCAAGATATGTCCAAGTACTTCTAAATCAAGATATGAGTTTCTTCGACACCTATGGGAACAATGGAGACATTGTGAGTCAAGTATTGAGCGATGTGTTGCTTATCCAATCTGCTCTCAGTGAAAAAGTACGTTCAGATCCTACAAGTATCTTCTCGCCAGTTTTCGCTTATTGGAATTAGTATGTAACGCTGTATTATATCGATCAATTTTATTGATGCAGGTTGGTAATTATATTCATAACATGGCTACATTCTTCAGTGGCCTTACAATTGGATTTATCAACTGCTGGCAGATTGCCCTCATAACTTTAGCTACTGGTCCGTTTATTGTTGCCGCAGGAGGAATATCAAATATATTTCTCCACAGGCTTGCTGAGAGTATTCAAGATGCATATGCTGAAGCAGCTAGTGTTGCTGAACAGGTTATTTCATTTTTCCCAGTTCCTTTTCCTGCCCTTGGTTAAATGAACCCACAATATTAGTAGCACTACGTATAGACCACTTGATGCATTTGTTTTCGTGCATTACCTCGGGGTATCATTTTTGCCAAATGGATCCGAAACTACAGTATTTTACACCTCAGTGTATCAGATGCCTTAGTGTGAATAGCTTCGTATTTGTTTTGGTGCGGTATTGTTGGCATTACAACACTCCTTATGATGTCTGGGGTCCCATTTTCTATTTAATTTCTTGTACTAAGGAGATCTTAATTATCTAAAATATTCATGGAGAATATTTGAGTAATAGCACTTGAAGGGTTGCATCAACAATGGAAGTATGTACTCACAGAGGCTAAGCATATGTGTATTTAAAAGTTCCACCATGTATAGACCGGTTTATCTTGTGCAGATGGAGTATAAGTTGTTGGCTCTTCATTTTTACCTCCCCCCTTTCTCTTATTGTCAAGTTTACTCTCTTATCTGTTAAATTGAGTCGATCATATCGTTGCCACCCTTAATATCAACCAGTTTAAATAACTACTTGAGAAAGAATGGTATTATACACTATGCTGTTAATTGCGGCGATATCTCGGATAGCGGACATTAGCAAAATAATGGTGGTCAGATTGCGGTAGCGCAATTTACTGCAATTTTGACCGATATTTAGGGTCAATTGCGTTCGATATTAAAGTTACTTTTTGGGGGGAGGGTTGGGGCCATTGGGCTTTATTTTCAGTCTCTGTTTTTAGATAGTTGGGCTTTATTTCTCGTCTTTCTTTTTCTGGGCTTTATTTTCAGCCTTTGTTTTTAGCCTAAACAAAGAAGTGAACATATTAGATGAACTGAACCTATTGCTTGCGATTAGCTCGTTTATGAACACTTTTCCTATTTTGCAAATGATATGTTTATGTAAGCATATTATATATATAATTATATATAATTCTAAGAAATATTATATGAACCGCTATTTTTGGACTGCTATACCACTGCTATAACTGCTATTTCAAATATCTGTCCTGACCGCAATTTTGTATTTTCACCGCTATAAGCATAGATTATACAACCACTTACTACTTTTCGTATATGTAAAGCCATTGGTTTTATCCATCTGTTAGTACCTCTAGGTTATGGTAAAGTAGTGCTTGCTCTTGACATCTATTTGATGAGATTTGTGCTGTTTAGTCGAGATACTTCCTTAGCTGTGATTTTTCTCTGTTTAAGGGGGCCTGTAGTATGCTGCTTTGTGGATTTTCTGTGTTTCAGTATCTTCACATACGTAGTTACATACATTTTGTCTATGCTAAATTCCTAATCTTGTGCTTGTGGGTTTACTTTCAGGTTACTGGCAACTAGCTTAGTGTAGTTTGGTATATTGGACAAATTCATGGTTATATACTATCTGTGTTTGATGATATCATGTGTTATTTGGCTACTTTTTCAACAGAACATGGCCAATATTTAATCTTTTTGGTCATTAATATAATATGTACAGGGAACTTTTTATTAGTTTTTCAGCTTTCATTTGAATAAAGTCTGAGTTGATGATCATTTACTATTGCCTGTAGTTCTAAAAGCCAACTGATTGTCTGTTAATTTATTTTTTGGTTACTTAATGCCAAATATTCTTTTTTCATTTTGCAGGCAATTTTATACATTAGAACCTTGTATGCTTACACAAATGAAACATTAGCAAAATATTCTTATGCAGCCTCTCTACAAGCTACTTTGAGATATGGTATATTGATAAGTCTTGTGCAAGGACTTGGGCTTGGGTTCACATATGGACTTGCAATATGCTCTTGTGCTTTGCAACTTTATGTCGGAAGATTCTTAGTTACACGCGGAAAAGCTCATGGTGGAGAAATTGTAACAGCTCTGTTTGCTGTAATCTTAAGTGGCCTGTAAGCATCTTGTTTTCACTTATCCTGTAATCCATCCATACATGATGCTTTTGTACTGATATTTGTCAACTGCCGTTGGTTTTGATAGTGGGTTGAATCAAGCAGCCACAAACTTCTATTCATTTGAGCAAGGAAGGATTGCTGCATATAGACTTTATGAGATGATAAGCCGTTCATCATCCACTGAGGATCATGATGGAAACATTCCTGATTCTGTACATGGTAACATCGAGTTTCGAAATGTGTATTTCAGTTATTTGTCTCGTCCTGAAATCCCTATTTTAAGTGGATTTTACCTGACTGTTCCTGCCAAGAAAACTGTGGCACTTGTTGGAAGAAATGGCTCTGGTAAAAGTAGCATTATACCACTTATGGAACGGTTCTATGATCCGACATTAGGTATTAAACTACTTTGTATCTTCACATCATTTGTTTTCTATATATATATATCTCTTGAAATTGTTACTTTGTCAGTGATCTTATTCCTTTTGGAGATACCAAAATAGGGGAAGGTTCAAATGAGAACGATAAATATTTTGAGAACCAATGGAACCAGTATATGCATATATGTATGCATTGAGGCATAGGGTTGGTTCCGGTGAGAATGAAAGTCATGGTGAGAAGGGTAACAAGGGATCTCCACCCTTGGATCAATTCTAATTGAAGAGAACCACTAGATCAACACTAACGAGATACACTAGATCAATTCCCTTCTAAAGGGTTGTTTTGGGATTAAAAGTGATCAAGGGTCCAAATCCCTTCTTACACTTCTCACCTCAACTCCTAATCTCACATGATCCTTTGTCTTGATGCATATACACTATCAAATTCATCAATGTATATCTACCATGTATGCAAGTATTTATGCGTCGATGAATATACTCATTAAATTCATGTAGTATATATGCATCAATTCATATACTCGTTCTCATGGTTCTCAAAATATTTATGGTACTCATTTGATCTTTTCCCTACCAGTATAATACCTTCCTTTATTCTACTGATATGCTCTTTTATTTATTGTTTCTCAGGGGAAGTTCTTTTGGATGGAGAGAACATAAAAAACCTGAAATTAGAATGGCTAAGGAGCCAAATTGGTTTAGTCACTCAAGAACCTGCCTTGCTAAGCTTGAGTATAAGGGATAATATTGCCTATGGCAGAGATGCTACTCCACTTCAAATAGAAGATGCTGCTAAAACTGCTCATGCACATACATTTATTAGTTCGCTTGAGAAAGGATACGAGACACAGGTAGAAATCAAAAGAGTAAATTACGTTTTAACCCTTAAATTAATCCCTAATGAATAAAATGTTACCTCAGGTAGGCAGGGCTGGTTTATCTCTGACAGAAGAACAGAAAATAAGACTTTCTGTTGCTAGAGCAGTGCTTTCCAGTCCATCTATCCTTCTTCTTGACGAGGTCACTGGTGGATTGGACTTTGAAGCTGAAAGATCTGTTCAGGAGGCTCTAGATCTCTTGATGTTAGGTCGTTCTACCATCATAATCGCTCGGCGGCTTTCTTTGATAAGGAATGCTGATTTCATAGCTGTGATGGAGGAAGGCCACCTAATGGAGATTGGGACACATGATGAACTGATAGCATCAGATGGGCATTACGCAGAGCTTCTAAGATGTGAAGAAGCAGCTAAACTCCCAAGAAGGTAAGATGATATGCCAAAAAAAGTGTAGCAATTGATGATTCCCTGGTGTTTTTTTTTTAAGTTTTCATCCTGATGAGTGGGTTATAAATATTTAAATGTGTTTGTTTCGTATCCTTTTAGGATGCCTGTGAGAACCTACAACGAAAATGCAACTTTCCAAATTGAAAAAGATTCTTCGGCAAGTCACAGCTACCAAGAACCATCCTCTCCCAAATTTGCCAAATCACCATCACTTCAGAGAGCTTCTAATCTACATGCGGCAAGATCTCCGGATTCTGCTTACAACTCGCATGAATCTCCAAGAAATCCAAGCCCACCAGAAAAAATGGTTGAAAATGGTTCGCACTTGGATGGAACAGACAAAGAACCGTCCATAAGAAGGCAAGATAGTTTTGAGATGAGACTGCCAGAGTTGCCAAAGATCGACGTCCATTCTATTCGACGTCAAACATCCCATGGCTCTGATCCTGAATCACCTGTTTCACCACTTTTGACATCTGATCCCAATAATGAGCGCTCACATTCACAAACTTTTAGTCGGCCTAACTCTCAGTTTGGTGATGATCCAGTTAAAGTCAAAGCGGTGAAGGAAAAGCAACCTCGAAAAGAACCACCAATGTGGAGGCTTGTAGAGCTGAGCTTTGCTGAATGGCTTTATGCTGTTCTGGGAAGCACTGGTGCTGCAATCTTTGGTTCTTTTAACCCTCTTCTTGCCTATGTGATTGCATTAATTGTGACAGAATATTACAGAAAAGAGGCTGACAGACATATGCGGCATGAAGTAGATAAATGGTGCTTAATCATTGCCTGTATGGGTGTCGTGACTGTAATAGCAAATTTTTTGCAGCACTTTTACTTTGGTATAATGGGGGAGAAAATGACCGAACGAGTTAGGAGACTGATGTTTTCTGGTTAGTACCTCTTTTTCTAGCAAGTAATTGTCCTTTTCTTGCCTTATAAATGCTTATGATGTTTATCACTACATTTATTTGTTTTTTACAGCAATGCTCCGCAATGAAGTCGGATGGTTTGATGAAGAAGAGAACAGTGCTGATACCTTGTCCATGCGATTAGCAAATGATGCAACATTTGTGAGAGCTGCTTTCAGCAACCGACTTTCTATATTCATACAAGATAGTACAGCCATTGTTGTGGCACTATTGATAGGGATGCTTCTACAGTGGCGTTTGGCCCTAGTGGCTTTGGCCACGCTGCCAGTTCTTACTGTTTCTGCCATTGCTCAGGTATACATCTCTTGTGCACACAGCAGAAAACATATTGTCCATATATTCTTTTCTGGAAACTGAGTATAACAAGTTTGCATTCTTTGTCAATAATTTTTGCGCAGATTAAGAATTGTGTTTTACTAGTAGCCAAGTACCCAAAATACCATACCGAACCAAACCAAACCAAACTACCGAGTAAATCTCATCCAGAGGTAGGATTTGGGGGTATGATGTATGTAGACCTTGCCTGCCTCTACCCCTCGGGTTAGAGAGACTGTTTCTGTGAAGAACCCCGGCTTGCAAAACAAAATTTAAGAGAAACAAGCAAACAGACTACATCTGAGAGTGTATGCAAAAAAGCAACGAGTCTGGAGAAAATACGTTAGGGACATATTGCGAGGGAAATAGGTTAAACAAACAAGGAAAACAAAGAGAGCAACACTTGACAACTACTAGTATAGGACAAAGTAATATTTTGATTAATTTATATTAGATCAAAGTAAAAAGCTGGAGGAGTTTTGTTCTGATATTCTAACCCTCAAAATAATAAACTAATGGCAAATCTTGTGTCCACATGTATAAAACATTTTCTGTGCTAATGATATAGTGCGAGTGAATAGGTCATTGTAAGCTTAAAGATTTCCAGATAAGGAATGTTGCGGCGATTATGGCATATACCAAGATAAAAAAGGTTGTAGTTATTATGGGACATAAAAGTGTTGCAGTTTTTAATGGGAGTATATTGTATCAATGGCTTCCTATTATTTCTGTAAAGTGTTTTGACCATGATTCACTGAATTTGGGAAAAGTTCGGTTTGTACTTTGGAGCAGAACTCAAGGAATCTTTCAAAGTGCTAGCAGACCTTGGAATTTATTTCATGTGATAGTTTCTGAGAGAGCATTAAATCATCCTTGATCTCTAGTGCTATTGTTATTATATGCATGAATAATTGAATTTTGTTTTTATAATAAGAATCTATTTCATGGAGAATTATGTTCAACTTTCAAAGACCACATTGATTTTTAATAGTTACTACCCATTTGCGCAGAGATATTTTCAGATTTGTGAGATTAGTTTTCCTTGGAAATATGGAGATTGTTACTGGTAAATGATCCATTTTTCTCATATTTATAAATCCTGCAGAAGTTATGGCTAGCTGGATTCTCGAAGGGCATACAGGAGATGCACAGGAAAGCATCGTTGGTCCTTGAGGATGCTGTTAGAAATATCTACACTGTTGTGTCGTTCTGTGCCGGTAACAAAGTAATGGAGCTTTACCGATTGCAGTTACGCAAGATATTCACAAAGAGCTTCTTGCATGGCATGGGTATCGGCTTTTTATTTGGCTTTTCACAGTTCCTTCTTTTCGCCTGCAATGCTCTTCTCCTCTGGTACACTGCACTCTCTGTTAAAAACGGAGACGTGGATCTCTCCACTGCCATAAAGGAGTACATGGTCTTTTCTTTTGCTACTTTTGCTCTCGTGGAGCCTTTCGGTTTGGCTCCATATATTCTCAAAAGACGGAAGAGTCTGATATCCGTATTTGAAATAATCGATCGAGTACCCAAGATTGATCCAGATGATATCTCCGCTTTGAAGCCTCCAAATGTTTACGGAAGTATCGAGTTGAAACATGTTGATTTCTCTTATCCAACTCGTCCGGAGATTCTGGTACTGAGCAATTTCAGTCTCAAAGTCAACGGTGGTCAAACGGTTGCTATCGTGGGCGTTTCAGGATCCGGAAAAAGCACAATAATCTCTTTGATAGAGCGGTTTTACGATCCGGTTGCTGGTCAGGTGATTTTAGACGGTCGTGATTTAAAGCAATTTAACCTGAGATGGTTACGGAATCACATGGGTGTTGTTCAACAAGAACCCATCATATTTTCGACAACCATAAGGGAAAACATCATATACGCAAGGCACAATGCAAGCGAGACGGAGATCAAAGAGGCTGCGAGAATAGCAAATGCTCACCATTTCATCAGCAACTTGCCTCATGGGTATGACACACATGTTGGAATGAGGGGTGTGGACTTAACCCCGGGCCAGAAGCAGCGGATCGCAATTGCTAGAGTCGTGCTAAAGAATGCACCCATCTTGTTGTTGGATGAGGCAAGCTCGTCGATCGAGTCAGAATCGAGCCGGGTGGTTCAGGAGGCACTTGATACCCTAATCATGGGAAACAAAACCACCATTCTTATAGCCCATAGAGCTGTTATGATGAGGCATGTTGACAACATCGTTGTTCTTAACGGAGGTCGAATTGTGGAAGAAGGTGCCCATGATTCATTAATGTCGAAAAATGGTCTGTATGTTCGGTTGATGCAACCGCACTTCGGAAAGGGTATACGTCAACATAGGCATATTTAGTAAATTCGTGACGACCAATTCCACGACTCCGAGACCGGCTCGAGGTGAGAAGTAGGTTTGTAGATTGGTGCTGCATATTCTTTTGGAGGCAAAGCAGTGAATGTAATGCCTTCATGACATATTGTTTTGTTGATTGTAGAACTTTTATTTTTTATTTTTATTTTTGGTTTTGTGTTTGTTTTTGGTGACATTTTGTAGATTTGTATATGTTTTTTAGTTGTGTGCAATGAGGCTAAAAAGGAGAAAGCAAAGGTATTTATTGTATATAAAGAGACTTTGAAGAATCCATTGAAATTTGTTTTGCATTTCCCCATTTTACTTCAACTATTCTATTGGATGAATTACTTGGGATCTTTAACATTCAAGTTTTATCTATACCATTCGATAAAAACTTTTAAAAACTATTTTTTATGTATGAAGTACAGTTTATTGATGCATACTATTTAAAATTCAAGATTACAAATAAACTGTGCATAAGTACAACTTATTAAAGCTTTATTTTTGAATTCATGTAACTAACTGTAGATAAACATAGTCAAAATATAAGATAAACATTTCATTTTAAATATAAAAGATCTAAAATATAATTAGAATAATCATTGAGTTATAACAGAATACTTAATTATATTCTTATAAAAACTTATATTATTAAATCAAAAATAAATTACTTAAAAAAATTAAATTGAATAAATTACACAAAAAAAAAAAAAATGAAGTAGTTATTTTGATATTAATATTGATATATTTATTTTCAAAATTAAATGATATATTTATTTTCAAAATTAAATGATATATTTAAATTTATATTTTATTCAAAAATAAAAACATTATCTATTTCTCAAAACCCTATTATAATATCTACAAAGACGGAATAAAACAAAACATTAAAATCGAAATATATCTCGCTGCATTGCGCAAGTACCGGTCTATTATTTATATAATTCAAAGGTTTTTTTCGACACGTTATCATTAATATGTCATCACCTAAACAATTCCCTTAAATATATGAAAAATTTGTTTCTTTGGGTAACTGTGGATTTTCGGTCCGTGTGTATGAACTAATCCTCGAGCAACAACAATTATCACATCATGTGAGCCTCCATAGCCATAAGAGCTTTCACAACGTTTGGATTCAAACTTGGAATAAATGAGATTTTCCACCATTCCTTCGAGACTTGACCGTTGCACCATAACCTAAGTACTCTATAATTTGTTTAAGGTCTCAAATGAAAATTTGGAAATATTAGTTCCATTTTGATGCAATTTCCTTGTAAATAAATGATTTTTTTTCGAAGTTTATGACTGATTACAGATAACCAGTGACCAAAGCCCCAATGAACTGCAAAATTCATTTTATTTCAACATTAAATCAGGTATACCAAAGAGTGATGAGAAATGAAATAGTATTTTGTTCGACTCACGTGGAAAAGCTTTTTACATAGACTATAAGGACCTAAAATATAAACCACTTCAAAGGTCAAAAGTGTTTGGAGGTCCCAGGTTCAAATCCAAGAAGGAACAAAAATTCTCTTGTGATCACAGAAGTTCAAATACGGTGACTCCGGGCTAGCTGCAAAACGGGTGGTCAAACTGAGATTAATCGGCTTTCGTAGTGGGTTGGATGTCCAAATTAATAAAAAAAAACCTAAAATATGTTGATACGACCGTTGTTTTAATTGGTTAATAACATTTTTAAAAAGGTGTAAATGAAATATAAAAAAAAGAAATCATTTTATGTGATCATCAATCGCGACCGTGCCGGCGATAATACCTCCGCCGCATGATGAATTGGTCGGAAAACCAAACATTAAAATTAATCTTCGGTCATCACCACCTCAACTAACACCCACCGTACACGTGTCAACACTCTTTGGATCAAAGAAAACCATGCTAATTTACCGGCAACCCGTAATACCGGTTCCCTGGGCCGTTATTTCTGGTGTTTATATACACATACTCTACATACCCCCCAACTCCCTCAGCCAACTCCACTGATTAACTTTCTAGACAAATTTGTCCCCCAAAATCATGCCAATTTACAGAATTGCCATCGGAACTCCGGGGGAGGCCACCGACCCTAATACACTCAAAGCCGGTGTATCGGAGTTCATCTCAACCCTCATTTTTGTATTTGCCGGTGAAGGATCCGGCATGGCTTACGGTATGTTACATACAATCCCATCTCCTTCTATTTTCTTATCAATATAATCGATGGTTTCTATGATTCTGTTTAACTTCTGTTTCGATTCTCTGCGATTAGGTAAGCTGACGTACGATGCACCAAACACTCCGTCAGGGCTAGTGTCTGCTGCACTAGCCCATGCATTCGCCTTGTTTGTCGCTGTTTCAATCAGCGCAAACATTTCCGGTGGTCACGTAAATCCAGCCGTCACATTTGCGTCATTCATCGGTGGAAACATCTCGTTCCTGTGTGCCATCGTGTATTGGATCGCTCAATTACTTGGGTCCGTTGTTGCCTGCTTGCTCCTCCGGTATGTCACAGGCGGAACGGTAAGAACAAAACATCGTCAAATTTGGGTTCCAAAAGATTTATGGTTGTGATTCTTGAGAAACTACAACTTATTCCAATCAAATACGGAACTAAATTGCAGGAAACGCCGGCATTTGGTCTTTCATCGGATGTTACGGTCGGAAATGCACTAGTATTGGAGATCGTGATGACGTTTGGCCTAGTCTACACGGTATACGCGACCGCAGTGGATCCAAAGAAGGGCAATATCGGAATCATTGCGCCTATTGCCATCGGGTTCATAGTGGGTGCCAACATCTTAGTTGGTGGTGCGTACGATGGTGCGTCAATGAACCCGGCGGTCTGCTTTGGTCCAGCCGTGGTGAGCGGGACATGGAAGCATCACTGGATCTATTGGGTCGGTCCGTTTCTGGGGGCTGCCATTGCAGCCCTTATATACGACAGTATCTTCATCAGTGACGACCACGAGTCGCTTCCGGTAACAGACTATTGATAATCGACCACGATCGATTTTAGTTTCCGAGAAAACTAAGTAGTGAAATCAATCTTGCCCTTTTTGGAAATTAGACTAAATTGCTTTTAGGGGATTAAATAAGATGTCTAGTTTGGAATTTCTATTTACAGTATGTTCTTGATGAATCATGTTTGTGTTTGAATCCTGCATGTTCTACTTAACTACTAAGAATGCATCAAACATAGTAAGTTCTAGGAATGTATCAATAAGCATATAACAAAATTTCGAACCTTTTTGATCGGCCGTTATGCTCTCGTGCTACAAACCGACAAAATCCATCGTTACATGCACAAAATTATTCGAAAACGTGTCGAAGATGCGTTATTACACCATGTGAGGATGCTTGGAACACAAACCTCTGTTACCGAAAACTTCTTCCACAAACTTGTAACAGAACTTCAACTTRTCCGATCCTGTTGGTTTACCAATCGCCTGGCGTTTCGGGATTCTTATCAAACACCTTTCGTGCATCCCCTGCCTCACGTCTACAACTTGAGGTTCAGCACCGAAAACYTCCATCAAACGCTCCTTAAACAACATGATGTCTTCTTCCTTCTTCAATCCTTCCAGTTTCACCACTTTAAGCTTGCGTAATCTCCCATTTTCGACCCTGYTRGAGCYCTGWTGATCACCGGCRGAGCGGCTTCGAGGGTCAATCTGCAAAGTCATCAACTATTTCAAAAACCTTCCTGGAAGAATCGAGGGTTATGTCGCTAATTAAGTTCAGATGAATGAAGTTACCGTGAATCTATAACAGAGAAAGGGTTAACACTACCAAAAGGTCATCGACCCACTAGTATACGGTCAAGTGATTAAACCTCACCATATCTGAGTATACATGAGTATTTGTTGTATATAAATAAATAGAGGGGGATCAACCAAGGAGTTGATCCATTTGCAAGAATGCAATGAATACACATGAAATGCACGCTTAATCATATACGCTTGAACACATCCAAAAGGGACGCGAGCGAGTTGGTGAGCGTGAGGGAAGGTCGCCTGCTATGTACCGGTCAACATAACATGTGCTTAATCATATATGATATTTGAACTTCTCGCCTTCTCGTTTGAACTGAATAATATACTTAAATTTAATGAGAAGAAGAAGGGAACGTACAGTTATGAACAACCTCTTAAGGGAAGTGCAAAACTTCAAGAAACAAAACAACCAGTTGATGTTATGATCATCCATACAGCTATCAATCCACCACAAGTCCTCAAGTCTGCTGAATCTGAAATGTTCCTCATGTTCCTCTGAAAACAGCCATGGTCCAAATACTTCCTAAAACCCATAAATTTAACAGCTTAATTATGATTCTAAAAAGTCTTTATTAAGCCTTTCAATTAAAATTTGCTAGATTCTTGGTCATTTCCATTTCCATTTCCATTTCCATTTCCATTTCCATTTCCATTTCCATGCTTACTAGTAACTTAAGTAACACCCATATAAGCGGGTAAACGGCCCCTTACATGGGTTTTTTGTATCTTTATAAACTCGATATTGTTGTAGTGAAGAGAAACGTACCTTAAACATCCATCCACGGAGTGTAAGCACCTTGACATCTCGAATAGCTCGTAAAAGCGGATCATAGAGCTGGTGGTTCAAGTGTTTGAACCCTGGACCTTCACAATCCAAGATCACGTCTTTCAAATACATTACATTCTTGAACGAAAACCAGCATAAASGSCCGCKATATCGAAGAGMTTTGAGCTCCAACGACTCCACAAACACCGACTTAAGATCATAACAATCTCGAACAATGAGGGWMGTAAGCTTMGCAAGACCTTCAACTCTCAGAGACCTCAATCCATCACACTTGTCAATGATCAAACACTCAACATACCGAAACTTGTTTATCAAATTGGATACCAANGCAAGACCTTCAACTCTCAGAGACCTCAATCCATCACACTTGTCAATGATCAAACACTCAACATACCGAAACTTGTTTATCAAATTGGATACCAATTCACAAGTTAAATAGTTAACCGAAGTTAATTTCAGGGTTTTCACAGAGAAAAGATTTGGGGAAAATTGGGCGAAATCCATGGTGTTGAGCACAATCCCCCATCCAAACTGCCTTGGGTAATCTCGATTTCCTTTGGAGAAATCAAGATGGAGTTTTTTTTTCAACCCGATGGATGCCGTGATCAACCCTCGATTGAAATGGAATTCAAGCTTTCTGGGACTTTTCAGAGGATTATTTTCATCAAACATAAGGAAAAGTTTTCTGACTTCGGATTCAAAATCTTGAACTTGGACTGCTGGTCCTCCATACTTGATGCAAGTTCTGTTACACAAACCTGTGACGAGAGCTACAAATTTTGATCCAGAATCCAAGGGGTAGATTGAGAGAATATCCGCAAGAATTTCATCTGGTAATTTGGTGATCTCCGACCTGCAAAATTTCCGCTGTTCCGTTAAGAAGGAATCACAGAAAGAAGGATTAGAGATGTAGTTTGATTTACCTGGAGCATTCATCAATGGGGTTGTTCTCTTGCTGTTCTTCCATATCGGGATTGGAGTTGAAAATGGAAATATTTGGGTTAATGAAGATTATGTTAAATAATGTATGTAATCATATGACTTGGAGAAGAAGGATTAATGAGGATGACGACGACGACGACCAGGTCTAAACAATGTTGTATCGACGTTTCTTATTTTATTACAACACCTCAATAAATATTTCCAAACGATTTAAAACAGGTTAAAATCTAAAGAAGAATAAAAAATTTATTGTGGTCACGGAGGTTAAAATAATATATATAATCACTGACAGTAAAACATGAAAACATAATAAACGGGTAATATAAATGTTTAAGTTTATGCATTTGTTTTTTTTTTTGGAGATTTTTATACACGTACTTTTACTCATAATTTTTTTATTAATGTGATTTTATAATGAAACTTTTCTTGTAAGCTTCGTAACGGATAAATTGATTTATATATATATATATATATATATATATATTAATATTAAAAAAAAACCAAGAATATTGATATGACATCATAAAAAATGAGTATTAAGATATTAGTGAATTGTTGTTGAGTTTGAGATATCCCATGTTGATGAGAAATTGAAATTAGATGTGTGTATAAGAATGAAGAATGAGATTAAGTGTGTCAACTCATGAGGTTGAGTTTGATATATCCCACATTGATGAAAGATTAAGGAGGTGTGTATAAGAAATAACAATGAGATTAATTGTGTTAACTCATAAGGCTTGACTCATAAGGTTATCTTATTTGGATGACGATATTTTACAAAATAAATCTAATTATATAAAAATAAAAATAAATTATGTTTACATTCATCAATATATATATATATATATATATATATATATATATTAAAATAAGAACCAAGAGATAATTAGGTGTATCATAAGAATTGAGTATTGAAGTGTTGTTGAATTGTGGTTAAGTTTGAGATATCTCATTTTGATATATATATATATATATATATATATATATATATATATAGGGGCCCATTCAAAGAAGAACTGAGTTGTTTGTGATAACCGTGAGATCCAATCTCAACCACATAAATTAATAATCAATGGTTGAAAATAAAAGAAAAATTGATTACTGAAATTCCAAAAATAACTATCAAATATTTAATGTGAGTATGTAAATAAGGGCAAAAAGGTCAATTTTTTTAAATTAATGAGACTATTTTTAGCGCCCTAGAAATCCGTTAATATTCTAAAATTACATTTCATCAAATCAGAACAAAAAAACACAAAAAATGATGTTGGTTGTGCGAGAAGAGGTGGAAAACAATTTGTAGGCTTTGGTTGAACATGTTGTATTACATTGTGGTAAAAAAGATTGTGGTTTCATGTGGTACCCAAAAGATTGTGGTTTCATGTGGTACCCAAAATATTGTGGTTTTATGTGGTAAATTTGACATCCAGTCAATGAGCATTCAACTAAACTTTTTGTAATATCTCAATCACATAGTAGCAAATCATACAAGACAACATCCAAACTATTAACCCCATTGTGAGAATTATTTGGTAACCTACAACAAAGAACTCATAAGTCATAAGGGGTTACAAATTCCAATAGTTACTGATACGGGACAAGGTGTTACAATACCAATAGTGTATTAGGTAACACAAGATGTTGTGTTACATTGTGGTAAAAACGATTGTGGTTTCATGTGTTACCCAAAAGATTGTGGTTTCATGTAGTAATTAAGTAATATAAAATCAAAATTAATTGGAAGTTTGAAACGTATGAAATTAATAAATAAATATTTAATCTAAATTTAGTAATTTACTAACATGCCCTTTTACATTAATTTAAAAATAATAATTAATATATTAAAATGATTGGTTGAGATTGAATCTCACAATTAACACAATCTAATTAGTTCTCATTTGATTAGGCCCATATATATATATATATATATATATATATATATATATATATATTAAAGGAACAACCAAAGAATAATGATGTGGCTTAATGAGCTTTGAGTATTAATCAAATCTTGAAATGTGGCTTATGGATAGATTATTTTTCATCGTCCCTCTTATTATAAAAATCAAAATTTATAGTACACTCATTTCGTGTCCACTTAATTGCATTTTTTTAACCGTTTTAATAAAATTATGTTTTAAAACAACGTTTATAAGTTAAATTAGAAACATAATTTTTTCTTAACACGCATGATAATAATAATGCAGTGTCAATGATATTATGTCACAAATAAATCAATCATCAATATATGTATATTAAAAGAGAAACCAAAGGTAAATGATGTGACAAAATGAGTATTGAATATTTTTAAATATTAAAGGTGATTGATTTTCATCATCCTATATTAGTGAGCAGATGCAAAATTGGAAATAGGGAGTCAATATATGAAAGGAGAGCAAATATTTTTATACCAAATCATGAGGTTGGCTCAATTTGGCCTATCCTCTTTTTGCTATATTTTTTTATATACATTTAATGAATATTTTTTTTATTAAGTAATAGAGTTGGTTCATTTTAACTTTCCTCTATTTTTGCAAAAATTCTATTCATATTAAAAGATATTTTATATCAGTTGACTTTATAATAACAACGAAAGGTAATAATATGAATTTACTATATATGTGTATATATATATATATATATATATATTATAAAGTCAAATTCAAAACTTTAAAATAAATATAACGAATAATTTATTGTTTGTTTTAGTTTGTTATAACTGAAATTGAATCTACAAAAATATTTATTATAACTAAACTTGATTATATAATTATAAGTAAAAAAACAAGCCTATATATAAAGAAGCAACATGTAAAGGTATTGCTGCAAGTCAATGAGAATGTGATATACTCGAAGATGGATGTAAATATCTGAAATAAGGAAAAAATGAATTTGAGATCAATCATCAATCAATGTCAATATCAATATAATATATTAAAGGAGGAACCAAACTAACAATACAAAATATATAACCATGGTTGAAAACAAAACCAACCAAATATTACAAAATGAGTGAATATTTAAAAGAAGTTAGATATCTTTCAAAACTAAGATAGTTTGTTCAACTTTTAGGTTGACATGTTTTTTGGACAACCATCTTATATATATATATATATATATATATATATAGAGAGAGAGAGAGAGAGAGAGAGAGAGAGAGAGTTCGTTTCAAATGCAACCTATCATATTTATACAACTAATGCAACCTAATAAATTGAGATATTTATGGAAATGATGAGAGTTCATTTATTATGATTTTAATATTTATGAAAGATGAATAAGGTTCATTAATTATGATCAATACTTTATATTATGAAACAATCAAAACTTTTATTAAATCACATATTCATCAAATTATATAGACGATTGAAATTGAATTGTATTGGTTGTACAAATGTAAAAGGTTGTATAATAACCCACA